CTGCTTTACCTTTTTATCTCTATAAACTTTGTGTATTTTTTTTAAGACAGGATCTAAAAAAAAAAAAAAAGACAGGATCTCTCTGTGTAGCCCAGGCTGGTCTTGAACTCACAGCAATCCACCTGCCTCAGCCTCCCAGGTTCTGCGATTACAGTCATATGCCACCATGCCCAGCTAAATTTTGATACCTTTGAAGTCGCCATGTCTAGCTCACTATTGTACTCCTAGCAAATGTTTGATCTACTGTAGACAGGCAACAAATATTTCTTGAATAGATAGGACAATATTATAAACTTTATTTTCTTTAAGTAAAGCTGGTGATCTTTTTTTTTTTTAATTTTTGTGTCCTTAGTACAGGATCTACAGGGTCTCACTACACAGACCGGATTTCTAGTGATCCTCCTGTTTTCAGCCTCCCATGTGCTGGAATTACAGGTGCACATGCCACACGCCCAGTCTCAATCACTGTCTCAGCACATCCTGGGGTCGGGACCGGCACAGCATGCCATTGAACCTGCGTCCCTAAGCACGCACTTTCATCTGCTGAGCTATCTGGCCGGCCCTGATGATCTTATTCCTGACTTATGGTTACACCACCACGCTACTCATTAAAAAAACAAAAGCTGTAGAAATTCTCGAGGTGGGGAGATGGCTCAGTAAAATAAGCGCTTCCCTGGCAAGCACAAGGGTCTTGAGTTCAATCCCTGGTTCTGGAAAAAAAAAATTCTCTTACTGGTACATCAGGTGAGGACTTATGCAAGAGCAAGAAGGTGTGCCCAGAGGTGGTGTGACCCATCTAAGAGCATCACCCCCCCCAGTAAAGCTGGGGTGAAGGCAGACTGACTCCTGACTGCTCCTGTACTTAGTTCTGAGTCACTGTCATCTTCAGACTGTTGTCTAGGAATAGGGCTTCCTTGGCAGCTTGGAGCTGTGTTGCAAGGTTGGGTCTCAACTGGAGGAGCTTGTACAGGAGTCAACTGTTGGTCATTGTAATCGTCTTCCTCTTCCTTTTCTTCTTCTTCCTCCTCCTCCTCTTCTTCTCTCTTTCCTCCCTCCTTCCCTCCCTCCCTTCCTTCATTTTTTTTGTAGTAGGAATCACACTTAGGACCTTACACTTGCCAGACAGGCACTGTGCCCCTGACCTAAGAGTTTGGCCTTTGGCCAGTCTCTGAATTCTCT